CAACTAATGAACATAATGGGGACCGAGAGGCTGTTCGTAACTCCATTTGTTTGTATATCCAAAGTCAGGTCTCCATTGCCTGTTTTCCCATTGTTTTAAAGTTTTGTTTACATTAAGAATACCTGTACATAAATCCCAATAAGTATTTTTGATGGATTGATGCACAGGTAAAGCGAACTATGACACAAAAATTGGCAGTACACAAGGACACAGTGCACGATGCTTTCGTGTTTATGGCAAGAGAGCAGGCGACTGAGGCGAGTGATGCACACATACGAACAAATTAAAAAAAATACTTAAGTCCAAAAAATTGTTTGAAAGATGCTAGCAAACTTCAAATTTCCTGGGCGCAAATATAGTTCACGAGTTCGTATGTGTGCATCACTCCCCTCAGTCGCCTGCCCTCCTGCCAAAACACGAAAGCACCTGTTCACTGTGTCCTAGTGTACTGCCAATTTTTGTGCCATAATTTGCTTTACCTGTGCATCAATCTATCAAAAATGTTGGGTGTGAAGACAAAGATAAACAGTGAAGCCAGTGGAAGTGCCAAGAAATGTCAAACAAATCCAAGTGAACAAGGTAAATCTTACGAGTTTCCTAATTTTTATTTGAAGCATGCAATGTTTTCTGTTTTATATTTCATGTGAAATGTGAAATGCTTTCATGTATGTAACTGACATAGCCCTAACGTTAAAATGTGGAACCTAAATACAAGCCTGTAACCTAGCAGTAACCATGGCAGCTGTTTGACCCCGATATACAGACGCTTTGTCATCCCTTATTGGGATTTATGTACAGGTATTCTTAATGTAAACAAAACTTTAAAACAATGGGAAAAAAGGCAATGGAGACCCAACTTTCGACATACAAACAAATTGACTTCCAAACAGCCTCTCAGTCCCCATTATGTTTATAAGTTGGGGACTTACTGTATGTATATATACATATATATATATATATATATATATATATATATATATATATATATATATATATATATATATATATATATATATATGTGTATGTGTGTGTGTGTGTGTGTGTGTGTGTGTGTGTGTGTGTGTGTGTGTGAAGGAAGGTTGAATTTTTAAGAGTGTTCTTGCTGATGACATCAGCTCTCATGACCATGACGTCATGTCATGTGACAATATCATGTAATTTTCACACCAATCCACTTTACATCACATGATTTTCATGCCATTTCACATGATATCACATGTTATTGATGTCTGTCATGTGATTTTCCATACACTAATCAGGGCACATGCAGTGGCTATCGAGTTGTTTGGCGGTAGTTACCTGTCCTTTTACCGAGTTACCTCTCACATGACCTGTAATGTGACTTGCATGACATGATGTGGAATACAATAGCAAGAGCTGATTGGCTAGATACCTATCATATAAAAGGTCAAGTTCATTCACTAGCCAGCTTTTGTCAAGCATGTCTTGCCAGATTTATATCGTGTGCTCTTGCAAGCCAAAGAATTCACCTGTCATCCAATCCTTGACTTACAAGGTGGAGACAGTGGATGACCCTTGGCCTTCGATCTCCAGGGGTGTTGCTCATCTCAGGAATGCCCCTGTCACACCTCGGGAATACTCCTGTCACACATCTGTCCCTGTAACATCCTTCCTCTGACGAGGAAATCAATGACGGTGATACTTACTACATGCCTCTAATGAAAATATCAATGAAAAGTGATCTCTCTGGTAAGATTTCTACCATTCTTTGTAAACACACCTGGATCTTTTGATTTATTACTTTTTCTGCATGGCATCTCTATCTTTTTTACAGAGAACTTGTGTTTTTCTTTCATATTCACAAACGTAAATGTCTCTGGCAGTTTCAAAAGTGATGACTCAGGATGGGAGGAATCTGAGTCTGACCCCAAGGAACTGGATGATGACATGGACTTGGATGTAGATTACTTGCCAGCAGCTGATACATAGATGGCCTCTGACGAGCTTCTCACCAAGTACATCAGGCATTGCAGGGGAGAGAATGCTGCCAGAATTCCTTCCTTCATTTGAAAGGAGAACTTTCTGAAGCATCATCACTACAACAGAACTTCTAGTGTCCACATCAGCCTGGATGAAGCTTCAAGCCCCTGGATATCTTCATCAGCTTATTCACAGAGTTGTCACAGAAGATTGTCGATGAGACAAACTGGTAAGCATCTAAACTTTTGTTCCTTGTATTTTGATTTTCATTCTACATGTCCTTTTTTGAGCACATGTTTTACAATGTCTTTTATTTCTTGCAATTACAGGTACATCTACCAGAACCCACAAAACCATTCATCGCACATGAAAGATGGGAAGACACTTTCTCATTGGCCTGTGGCTCCTCATGGGAATCCATTTAGAGTTTACCGTGAGGGACTTTTGATTAACCCAATGGTGACAGGTGAAGAAAACAAAAAAAAAAAAAACAAACTCTATGCTCTGGCAAACAATGGCGGCGCACTAACTCTGAGCGCGTGAGTTCGGTATATCAGCC